TTCACCCCCTGTTCGAAAAATGGAAAAAATCCAAAATTGGGGGGGGGTGGGGGGGGATGTCTTCATTTAAATTCTTACCTGGTGGGCAGTTGGGGCTTGGGCCTGGCTTGCGGGAGGGGTGCGGTTTCCCGGGTTTTCGGCGGCCCGGGTTGTGTTTTCAAAGGGTGAACCGGGGGGGGGGGGGGGGGGATATTGTGCAAAGAAGATGCTTCAATATCGGTACACCAACCACCTCGTTCATCAGCTCATACTGACGAAACAACGGTGTAACAGTAGGAAGGGATCGCTGTGAGCTTCAGACGGCGTTCGTGCATGTGCATCTCCACCACCTGATCCGCCGAGCACGGGGTATCGTGGTGAGGATGTGTGCTTGTGGCACCGGTAAGTCTCGGCATCTGATTTTGTAGATGAAGAGGTGCTTGTATTATAGGAAGACGAAAGCGCGGTGGGGATGTAGCGTCGAGGGACCTCTTGCGCAACTTTAACGTCGTTCACTAACTGATCGACACAGGAACAAGGGTGGCACCGACACAGGATCGGGGGTGGTCTTGGCACAGGAACAGCTATGGTGGCGGTACCGTTATATGGTTCGTTCCTTCTCCTCGGCCCAAGCCCTCCACTACCCCTGACGCTGTCCGCATGGTCGTTTTGTCTTCGCTGTCCCTCCGCCCCGCGCTTTGACGGGTGTAAAAAAAATGGCCAACAACAGTAGTGCCTTGCCAATGCCTCTCCAGTCTGCCATGATGTTGGGGTCTCGCCACCAGGCCTTTGCATTTTATAAGGTGAGTTTTCGGGTACTTGAGACAAGGGCTACATGACTGACTTACTTTCTCCTCACAAACAAGACAAAAAGTGCCCACGGAGGAGGCGACTCCTAGTTTTCACACTTTCGCCTGTCAAGAACCAGTTTTTTTTAGGTGTTCATTTTTTTCATAAAATACAAAGAAGAAAAAAGCCCGGTGCTTTTGTGACCCTGGATGGTTGTAGTTGTACGAAAACGTACACTGAAAAGTGTACTACTCTACAAACACTGAAGAGTGTAGTACGTGTCTCACCACGAAAAATGGGGGAACTGTCGCCATAATAAATGGGACGAAAACACACACACATAGAATAGCTTGGCCTCCCCCATGCCGCCCCCTCACGGGGTCCCAGTTAATGGCATTTAGCAGTGTTTTGAGTTTTCAACCGCACCGCGACGACTGGCGTCTTTTCATTGGTCAACCGGTTACCGCGGTCGATGCTAATAATAAAAACACATACAAGTACATAGCTGACCTCGAATGGGGTGTTGACGGAGCACTCCGTCATCCCCGCCAGAGATCCCGCCGCAGCCGCTCGGTAGGACGGCAGAGTCCCGTCGTCTTTCTGGAGAAGCTTCTTGAACGACTGCCTCCGTCGAACAAACGCGATAGTGTGGTAGAGGGCTGTTGTTGGTGTGCTCTTGGGAATGACGGTGTTTGGTGGTCTCATGTTGGCGTTTTCGTTGTCTTGTTCTTCTTGTTACTCGTGGTTACCGTTGTTCGGATAATAGACGCCGGTACAAGCTTTCAAGGCGTGGCGGAGCTTCTGCAGGGAGAGCAACCACGAAAGAGAAACCAAAGGGTGATCAGAAAGCCGCGTGCGGTCGATCCTCAGGTCTTGCACCATCTGGAAGGCGACCTCCAATACTACTGCTGTGCAGAGGCCAACTGCTTTGTTCGCGATGCTTACTGCCTGGCACCCAACCACGGCTTCCGAAAATGGACGATACCTTGTGGGACAAGTTGTGCACACGTTTGTCTGCCCAAAGAACTGCTAGGTGGACACGCCCATATTTGTCTGTGCAACTTTTCCCCTCAACTAATTGCCACCAGGCTCTAGCGGTCGCATACACATGAACTCAGTCGTCGAAAGAGTTTGTGTTAAACCAGTCGACAGGGGGCGTGCAGGGTTTACTCACCGCGTTGAGGCTGAACTTGATTGCCCTCTTGGGCGCCTCTGCCATCACCGGGCTCGCCACGCCCCGGTAGAGGTTGGCAGGCCCCTCGTTCTGGATTATGTCTCGGAAGATTGACACCATCGAGGTCGTTTTCCCTCCCGAGAGTTGTTGTCGTGTCTTCGCCACCTGTTGTTTCGCGTGAATGGTGTGTGTTAGCGAGAGCGGCATGTGCTCGAGCTCTTGAAACGAGAGGTTGGTGTTGCGTGCATAGTGCCAGAGGTCTACAACGTAAGCCAGTACTGGGGCGATTGGTGTTTGGAAACCGTACCATATAAGTAAGAACACAGACGACTTGTATCCGTTCGATATATCACCAAGTCGAAAGGCAGGTGCTCACGTCTTTTCAGTGAGTGGGGGGAAACTGCTGGAGACTAGACTTATTTTCTTTTGGTGTTATTAACGAAACGAATGAATTCATCTCCATCCATAGAAAAAGAGTCGAAGATGAAGATTAGAAATGAATATTGAGCGTCGGAAGCTACCCGAGCAGCATACAGTACTTACATGATGATTTCATTCGTATACCGTATATGACACAAGATAACACACCCCCTGGACCGATTTTCAAAGCTCGATTACTCCACGACGAAGAGGATGCATAAATGAAACAATACGTTTTCGAACAGCTCTCGACGAGACGGTTCCAACGCCGCCGTTTTCGGCGCTGTGACTCTTCCTGCTGTTGAGAAATCGAGCTTTGAAAATCGGCCAAGGGGGTGTGTTATCTTGTGTCATATACGGTATGCATGTCGACACGCGAAGACGGGAGGGCTCTTTTTCTGTCCAATCGATCTATTCGGCAATGGCCAAGAAATTTCGTGTGGGCCAATGGAAGGCCCACCCTGCCCTAAATGCACGCGTGATCACGTGTCTGCCGATGGTACTGTAAGGATCCCTCTCTGCGTAACGTGGAGCACACAGCATTTACATAATGAATGTACGATGCGGCTCTTCCCCTGTCTCCTCTTGTGATTTGCCTGCAAAAGTAGGGCCAACCGCAAGCGGAGGCGCTTCACGCCAAAGCGCCCAAGGAGACTGCCAAAGCCATTGCAGGGCATTCCCGTCTGGACAACCCTAAATATGAATTGCCTACAGCTACTGGTTGACCGATGGCCCTCCTGCTGCTATCTGCTACAACACACATGTCTGCTGGTGCTGGTTGGATGACGTCAACCAAGGTCAATGCAACGCACATCTGTAGGATACATGCACGCGATCTCCACCAGCCCGGCGCCGCCTCCTGCGACGAGGTTCTTCCAAAACGGCGTCGAGGACTCAGGAATTGGCGTCCCTCGGCCATCCGGAGGGCACCTCACTTCCAGAGGCATTTCCGCTGCTGGTGCCCCTGCTGTTGCTGTGCTGTTGTTGTTGTGCACCACGGCCTCCTCTTCTTCCCTCTGGATCAGCAGCCACCGGTGCAGCAGGCAGGGGCAACGATGAAACTGGCACGTACCTGATCGGAATCCGTGCTCAGGGTTGGTGATGAACAGCTGGAGAAGAGAGCAGTGATGCGTCTGCTTTGGGAGGCACCGACTGCCAAAGCAGAAAGCCAGCAACACTGATCTGGACTGGACAGCGGCAGCCAGAGGGCTGTGCATCGCTCCGCAGACAAGCAAAGGTTTAAAAAAACGCACACCTCTCGGGCCAATTCCTAGTTGTCGTCCCCCCACCCCAGCTAGCTGTGCGCTGTGCCTCATGTGTGTGACACACTCATGTCCCTGTAAAGACCGTCGCAAGCACACTACACTTATAACAGAAGGTAAGCCAGCCATGAAGGGAGAGTCAAGGATAACGGGCTTCGTGTGTTCACTCTGTTGCAGCCAGCTTGGTCTCGGGTACGGTCTAGTTTTGTGCAACAACATCGCGCGTCCGCGCTGGCTCCCCACGTGCAACAACAACAGCACCGCGCAGCAACAGCAGTCTCCGCTCATGTGACATGTTGAACGTCATACGTACTCCAGGCTTCTCCGCCCTTGGTATCTAGGAAGCACCACTATCTGGCATGGTCATCGGCGTCCCGACACCACTGGTGTTCACGATGTTCAAACCTTGAGGTCCGGCGTTTTTGCTCCCTTTTTCTCACGAAAGGACGGTTTCTGCGGCACACACAGCAGCAGAGGCGAGGAACCGCACACATATCTTACGATCATGAGAGGAATCGGGGCGCTGTGCTGCGCGCTAGCAGCTGTGCATGGAGTAACGGGTTTCGTGGCGCCCCTCTCGCCAAGAGGTTTCGGACAGCAGCAGACGGCGCGAGCTTTCTCGGCCCCCTCGTCCTCCCAGCAACCAGCAGCAGCACGATTGCGAATGGTGGCGACCGACTTACCCAAGTTCACGGTGTCCCTTATGGACGACACTCGTGTATCGTTCCACATGGACGAGAAAGACGTCCGGAAACTGGCTGATGTGGTACGTGTGTATGGTGGTGCAGATCGAAAGGGTAGCAGCATGTGCATCATTCGTCTGTATGGTTTGGCATGCGTCCTTTCCGGCTCTACAGATACTGGTACACTTCTTCCCTTGTTGCCTCAATTGGTGCAAGATTGTCTACTGCTGTAGGCTACTGCTGTACTACCAACCCGATACCTTGAGCACTTGTTGTGTATAAGTGCATAGACATCGCACATTGAGAATACCCTTTCTCTGTTACCGAGCAAGGGTCCCTGAAGTTTGAGCTTCCTTAGGGTTTGCTCGTGGTAATATTCATCACGGCTGTGCGTCAATCTCCCGTTATTGTCTTCGCAAAAATGGAACTCGCATTCCTTCTTTCGATGTTTTCCCTCTGCTTTTTTGAGGACGTAACATCACGTCCACCAAAAAGCGGAAGGCAGACAGCAAGAAGGAATGCGAGTTCCATTTTTGCAAAGACAATAACGGAAGATTCACGTACAGCCGTGACGAATGTTACCACGAGCAAACCCTAAGGAAGCTCAAACTTCAGGGACCCTTGCTCGGTAAAAGAGAAAGTGTATTCTCAACATGCGTTGCGTGCATCTGTAGCTCTCTGCGGGAAATTTACTAAAAAGGCGTGTATGTGTTCGTCGGTTGAGCAAACCAACCGCTTAATACTGTTCTTTCCGAGAAATGAGAGACGTTAGGCTTTATCAGGCTACAGCATGATCCTATTTTTGAAGGAAATCTTCCCGCGTATCGTACCGACACTTTACGCTCACCGGGAGACTGTACACCGAAACGCCTGCTATTCCCCGGAGGTGGGGCTGAGGAGGGGTATGCGTAGGAGTTCCATGCACAGCACCACGGGCGTATCAGATCATGTTCGGTGGCATGAGGTTGAATTCGCCTACCCGTTGTATTTGGCATGGCTTGCAGCAAACACCCCCCATGTTCAAGCATGTCCAACTCGAGCTGTTCGCGGCGAAGCTGCCGGCAGATTGTTTCATGTTTCCTCTCGCGACTCTCATGTTGTTCGCAATGATGAAACGCAGGGGCGCGAGCCACATGGATTTCTGTAACTCTCGATTCTCTCAGGATTTCGTGCCCCGATGTCCCTGATACTATCCCGCGTACATCGAAACGTCTCCACCGTGCACCCGCCCGTCACATGTACAAAAGGTGAACAACATTTTGAGGTCCTTCAAACGCCTGAAAGCGAACGCTGCGGAAGGGGGAAAGCCGTACAAGGAGGACAGCGTGGAGTACAAAGACACTATCGACGGCCTGAACATCGTGGTAAGGTTCCAACGCGGCAGCGCAGTAAAGTGCCTCTATGCTGGTATAACTTGTGAGCCTCAGGACGAACGCATACGATACATGACCTGAACTTCGTGGTTAGCATCACGTACCGCCAAAACAGCGGTCGTTTCCATTGGGGGTACCCGGAGCTACACTGGTGTCGGCAATTTCTATGCATCTCCAGTCGTAGTCAATCATCCGTACCACTGCTCATGTAGTGATATATATGTGCAGTCTATGTGGGGCGCGACGTACGCGTAGTTTGTCCCGACGTTCGGTGATCGATGATCGACCTTACACTGTGTTGTCTCTCCGGATGGCCTGTCTTGATGTCTTAGCTGCCCTTCTCGTCCCCTGGATACCGTTGGCTTACTACTTTGACTACATGTGACTATCCGGTGCGGTGTCTCTGTGGGTTGGCCACATACTGTATGCTCCGTGTTTACAACATCGCACCATCTTCTGCTGCACTGAGGTACCTCTGATGCTATACACGTTCTCTTTGCATACGAGCTACCACATGGACTAACGTCGTTGGGCGTCAACGTCTGCTGCCATGTGCTGGGATACACGCCAAAATTCCCAAAATACTTACTAAACCTTTAGGTTCAGCGTATTTTTTCTTCTTCAAAAGTTGCTGAGAGTATTCGTAAGGGCGAGTCGGCCCTTTCGATTCCTCTCCGCTTATATCCCGTGTCTGGCACGACTAAGAGTGGACACGTGCGTGCAACCCGCCGTTGGTTGTGTTACCTATGTTTTCCCTTCCAAAGCCCTTTCGTTAGTGAGAACCGCTGTCATTTGTATATGGCGAACTTGCTGTCTCTGCGCAACCCGCGTCTTTCCCGTTTTTTTCGTGTGGTCCCTTGCCTTGTGGTAAATGCCTCATTCGTCAAGAACTAATCCCTCCGTGATTTCCCGTCCATGGCCAAAATGCCTGCGCTACGCTGTCAGGTGGAGTGCAACCCGAACATCTTTCCGGACCCTTTCAAGGCACAGGTTTTTGTGCGCGTTTACGATGACAAGATGGAGGTCAGCAGCCAGGCGATGCTCACCAAGCTGACGGATGCCATCAAGCAGCACTTGGCCCTGTTCAAGTGAACAAGTTGACGGCCGCGCTCCACGACTGTGGCGTTGCAAAGGCTATCTCTTTTGTCCGTTCCTCTGTGTCCTGCTTTTGAACGGGATATGTTGAGGGGTGTTTTTTCTGGTGGTACGTGTTTAGAATTGTGCGTGCCATCCTCAGTTTATTGAAGTGTGTGCCTTCTTAGCAGCTAGCAGGCAGTACACAGCATCGTCTATTTCGCTTCGACTGCACACTTGTGTGCAGGTTAAATTGCCGCCGAAAGAAATCCTGCCCAGAAAAGCGAGGCGGTTTGCACTGTAGCACAGGGGGTATACAGACATGCAGACAGACGTCGGTAGAGTGACCAGAGCAGACTCATCTGGAGACGGAAAATGGAATTTTGGCAAGTTTGATCTTGGAGTCGATGATAACAGCACAGCGGAGTGTGTTTTGGAAGTTTTGTCGTGACGTCGATGCTAGCAGCGCAACTGAGTGTGTCGGGGTTTGTCGGTATGTGAGCCGGACAACCAGGGGATCCATGCCAGGTACATGCAAATAGTCATGCAGTGGCAGTCCGGTTGCATTGGTTCCTATTTGTACGTGCGAAGAGTGTTGGCTTAGGGTAAACCCTCGCCCGCATCAACAGCAGCGACGTAGTACCTGGTCAATCGGCGCGAAAAATTCAACGGCAACGTCTCATCCAGAAGATTCCTCCTTTTGTTCGGTTCTTTTCGACAAGCACCTTTGATTCTCAAGGCTCCCCAAGCTTGGGAGATTTTCGCGCCTACTTCTTAGTAGCCGAAAATGCCGTGATCCTTCTCAGAGCAGTAGCAGTAGCACATACAAAAAGTGTGGGTGTCAACGCGAAAATAGCCACTTGGACCGAACACATATGCACACCGCCCACCCTTCCTTGCAGACACTTGCAGACACCATTCTGCGAGGTCTTCGACGGTTTAAGTCAGCTTCAGATTCTGCCCTGCGTCGCGCAGAATTTCCCACACAAATCCAGGAACGCCCACGACTTCAGGGAGCTCGCTTGCTGGCGCGGAGGCTCCGGCGAACTCGGCTTGCCGCGGAGCCGCCGCCCCATAAGGATGCCCCAACCTTTCCCCCGGAGGTTTTGTCGCCCTGACGCAAACCTTCGGCTGGCGCAGTGTATGGCAAGCGAGCTCAAGAGCACGGACAGCATACCCGTCGTGAAGTCGTCGCCGAGCGAGCAGCAGCTGGTCCTCAAGAAAAGTAACGGCACCGGCTTGTCCTCCGGACCACCCGCTTGGGAGCACCTCCGTGGTCTCCACGAAGGTGAACGACGGTTGGGGTTGTTCTCGACTACCACCACCGCTAGCACCACGGCCGCTTCCATTCGGCGCAGCAGCACTCTGCGCTGAATCTCCCGCGCAGACGCTGCCGCCCCCTTCCAGCTGCTCTCTCAAGGCATGGGTGAAGTCCTCGTTTAGGCGGAAACGAGCGTCCTCCCGTTCAAGCGCAGCATCAATGGCCGCTGCTCTGCCACGTTCCACTGCTGCTGCAGACTCACCGCCGTAGGTCCTCTCGTCGTACGGTCCCTTGCTGCTGCTGCTGCTGCTTTGAAGGCCTCTACCAACGGGCGGTGTGTTTCCTTCAGCTGACTCGACGCTAGCCGGCGATCCTGGCGGCTGTTCTCCGGTAGACGGCCAAGGGTTGCTTAGCGCAGAGGGGAAGAATGCGTGCTCCGACAAAGCTGAATCCTCCTCTCTGGGTGACGATTCGTGGCCTTCAGGATGCTCCCAGCCCGTCGCGTCGGTCTGGGGCTGTGTCACCAGCACCTGGGAGGGCAAACCTGGCAGGAACATAGCCTGCGTGGCCTGCGAAGGGTCAGGTGGCGTTGTCGATATCGATGGCGGCATCGCTGGGGAGCTGCAGATGTCCTCGCGGTTTTGCGACGAGTAGCAGTTATTGCCGTCGGCATCCCTACAACGCCTTTCCCGCTCTTGTTGTTGCACGCCAGCTCTGCCGTGCGGATGCGGCGACAGCTTTGTGCATGATGAGGACATGCCTGATACTGCACCCGTACAGCGGTCTGGTCTCATGACCAATTTTGCCTCCTCCAATCCCCAATCTTTCGAGCTTCTTGAGGCAGCTAAGCACAGTCCTGTCTGCTTCAAATCCAACACTTCCTTCTCTACCGGCGCTGCTGCAGCTCCGGCCATGCAGTCCTGTGCGACACAAGTACGAGGAACATGACCATGCTCACCAACCGCTGCCCTCCCTTCCACGGCGACAGCAGCGTCGTCCAGTGCTTCCCGTGACCGATCTAAACCCCTGCCTTCCTCCCTTGATCCAATACCTTCGTCGCATAATGACCTGGCGTCGACCTTGCCGCTCCTAATACACATGTTGCGGTCATGATCGTTAGCGGCATGGTAGGCATCGATGTCCGCCGGCCGGATCTCATCGTACCAAAGAAACGGAGACGGGAACCTCAAACCGCTACTGGTTTCCCGGCTGCTGCTTGCACCGGCCTGCTCTCTCACAGTGGCCTCGAGAATCTTGTACAGAGCCTCGCGGTGGCTATTAAAGGTGTAAGCTCCTCCGTCGCCTACTCCTGTGTTCGTTGTCTCCGACATCGTCCCCCTGGTTCCTGCTGCTGGTGCCGCCGGCGTGTTGTGTTACCGACTGCGGCAGGCATTGCCAAGAACCCGACCACAGGTGATGATATATAAAAACCCTTGAGCGCAAGATGACAAACACGGCTTCCAGCAGCACCAGGGGGGAGAATGGGAAGAGGGAGGGAGCCAGCGGGCGAGAGTGAGGAGCGAGGTACAAGGGATGTGAAAAGGAGATTGCGAGATTGCTGCGGAGTTCTCCGTCTCCGTGTTCTCCGTAGACTTTGGTAGACTCGTTTTTTTTTTTTTGCCACAAGACGTTGGCTCGCCCGCTCGCGCGACCGCGGCTTGAGGCCTCTCTCTTTCTCTCTCAAATCCACTATTTCTTCCTCCCTCTCTACCCCGGGAAACACCGACGACAGTCCCAGACCACCGGTCCATCCCTGTGGAACAAGAGGGAAGAGTGAAGCTGCTGTTGGTGTGCTCCATCCCGAGAAATTGTCATGGACGCCGATTTGAATCCGGTTTCAGACGACGGCGGCGGTAGTGGGCAAACGGCGGCTGGGGATATTGCCCTGATGGGAGCAAAGACAAATGAGCTCTTGTTCGCGCAGGCGGTGGACCCTACCCCGCCAAACGAGGAAGCGGTGGGGTTGATTTTCGACATCAATCCTCTTGACCCGGCGGTGATCGCTGTTGTTGGTGCCGTCGTCGTGTGTCTTGTTGCCGCGACATGGTGGTGTAGGCGCAAGCCCAGCAAGACGTGTCAAGCAACAACGACTCTCGCCGCGGGCGGCAGTGCAGGGACGGTATCAGCAGCGACCGACCGCCGGTCTTCACCCGTGGTTCAATCGCGGTACAGCACCCGAGGGCACGGTGTCAGCCCGCCGGGAAGCCGCAGATTGGCTCGCCGTGCATCGTCTCCCGCTTCGGCTAACCGTTCGTCGCGGCCGGGGAAGGTGATGATTCTCACTCCCCAACAGCTTGCTCTCTGCGAGGTGTTGTACGACGTCTACAACGGGGTGGTGCCGTCGCGCGGCATCGAGAGCAAGGCAGTCCAGGAGTGCGATCTGTCGGTGAGTGTTGGTGTGGTTTTCTCGAGGCAGTGGTTAGTCGGTGCCGCTAAACGCGGACAGCAACCGAATCGCGCAAGGACGCCCGGCGCTACAGGTAGTTTTCAAGCTGTTTTTTTTTTTTTACGATATTCCGAAAAGAGGGTAGTCTACCCCGCGTCCACCTCGGTACAGTAGTACGCTCTCCATGCGTAGGACATAACGTTGCGTTCTCTCTCGAACCCTCATCCATCCCACAGGACTTGAGCACTGCCCTTTTATTTTTGGGCCAGCACAGCAGCTCGACGGTACACTTGTATGTTCGTGCTTGCGACGATGCACAGAACCTGTAGCCGGCACACTTTTATCTGTTACGGAACGGCTTTCCCGGGGTCCGCCGCCGTTCGAAACCGCACGCTTCGTTCTGCCACGCACCGATCAAGTGTCCTTTGCACGGTGGCGACGCGAACACGTGGTGTAGGTGCGGCACACGTCACGATGGCCAGCACGAAAGCTGTGTCCTCTTCTTCCCGTTGCGTGTTCGGCAATATTTTCTCTCTCTCTCTCGATTCAACCCGCCTGACCTTCGATGCCGCCGCGCTCCTTGCTCTCCGCTGCTCTCAACCCCGCTGGAATTGAACTGCCAGCCCGCTGACATCAGACGGCAGTTCAAGAACATCAAACGGGCACGAGAGCTGGACCGTGAAAACGCCTCCTCCTCCGACAACAACGGCAGCGGTGCTCCGCCGAGCTCGCCGACGCCCCGCCGCGCGGCGCAGTCGCGCCTAACGCGGCCCTCGACTCGCCGCGCTTCCATTGCGGCTGCTGCTGCTGCTGACACCAAACAGCAACCGGAAGCAGGCAAGCAACCCTCTTCCAGGGCGAAGAAGAGCTCTCGAATACCTGTCCCAAGCAAGCGGGCAGCAGCAGCAGCAGCAGCAGCAGCTGCCACCACCGCTCCGTCGACCAAGAAGCCGCCGGTATCCCCGAGATCGACGCCAATCAAGCGCGGCGCGGCGGCGAGGCCGGGCACGGTGGGCGGCCGCGGCTCGCCCGCGCGCGCAGCGAAGCGCGCGGCACCGTCGTCTCCATCCGGAAGGTCGGCGGCGGCGTCGGTTCTACCATCATCTCCGCCCGAGTCTCCCATGCGGACGCGCGGCAGGAACAACAGGACCGCGTCCGTGCGCGTCGGCTCTCCGAAATCTGCGCCGACGAAGCGAGCGGCGGCGGCAGCGGCGGCGGCTGCTTCTTCCCCTAGAAGCGGCGGCGGAGGCACGCCTTCCAAGAGGGGAAAACCTTCTGTTCTCGAGATCGCCAGGTGCTTACGTTTTCATTGGACATGCTTACTCAATTGAGTGAAGAGCGGTTGGGCAAGGATGATTTAGGGAACGGCTCTGAGGCGGGCTCGACAGGAGCAAGGATCATAGGAATACACGCGAACACCCAAATGCGTCTGTTTTTTACTCCAAACCGCAATCTCTCTCCTTCATGATCGTCATTGCAGCTTCACAAGCCGCTCTTTCGTCGTCTGTTAACGGATTGTTGCCTGCCGGCAAAACGACTCACCGAAAGACTGCTGTCAGACAATCGTCAAACCCGCGTATCCATCATCATCTTCAAAGCTTTTAGTACCGTGCCCCGAATCCAACTGGGCCTTATGATAATACGTTGATCTACTTCCCCACAGGCGCGAGGCTCAGCAGCAGACCGTCGACGTTGCCAGCACTCGTGCAAGCAGTCTGCGGGCGCGCAGAAGCAGCAGGAGCAACACCAACAACGCCATGCGTCGCGGGACTAAGTCCTAAGAGCGAGTGTTGCACCACATCATCTACACGCTGGTAGCCGTGGAGCTAGCTCCTTCCGATATACACGCCTTTGCTAAGTCGATGGGATGCCGTAAGGTTATTCCTTCGCTTCAATGGTGTTGGTCGAATTCGTACTGAATTTAGGGGGTCCTGTCCTCTCCATAATTGTTGATCCGCGTTTCTTTCCTACAGGACGTGAGGTGAAGGTCTGTACCGTCCGTGTAGACGGCCGTATGCTTGTCCGGTTCCTGAAAACGCAAGTTGGCCTTTTCTGTTTGCCGCCCAGCCCGAGACGACATTCATTCCACGTGTCTTTGTTTTTGTTTTTGTTTTTCTCTTAGCCGGCCAGCTTGATGTTGCCGCCCCCCCCGGTGGGTGCATGGAGTTTTCGTCGTTGTTTGTCTCTACTTTCAACGTGGCGGTGTACAGCTGTAGGATGGGTTGATTTCTCTGGGGAAAATGTAGGGCACTACGCGAGGGTTCTTCATATATGTGCCGGCTTGTCTTGAATGTATCGTGTCGTATGTGTATCGTGTGCTCGAAGGGACTCAAGGTTGTGGTTCAGCCGCAAAATTGTATTCTCATGCGCACTGCCTTGCGATTCGTAGTGAGCGGGCGCCCTTGGCTCAATTTAACGTCGAAATGTTCAAAGTTCCGCCCCTTATAGTTGTGGTGTATGCGAAAGCAGTCTACGCAAGTCTTGATTCATACCGTTTGTCACGTCAGCGTAAATTTCTGTTTGCCTAAAAGTACATGGACATAGTGACACCGGCAGATTTTCCGAAAGTAAGTAAAAGTCATCTTGGAAAGAGGTTGTGGAGTGCGACTGATGTATGGTACAGTACATTTTTTTCGATGGCTTCGTTGGCGTACGCCTAGCGTTTTACACTTAGACTAGATCTCCCTGTTGGGCGGTCCCAGTTTTTAGGCACACACCACTATCTATGTGTCTGAGGGTTATTACAATGTAGTAGGCTTCGGAGACTTTGCTGTATTCAGGATATCGGGGACGGAGCCCCTCCCACTGGGAACGACAGTGTATCAAGAGGCGTAAATGGGATGCGAGAATTGAAAGCCATACACCGCCGCCACATACACATGCACGCACGGGCTACTGCATGCACGCGATCAGCTGCGTAGTGATCCGTCCTTTTTCTTGGGGAACAATAGTTTGTTAATTCAATTTGGGGGGGTGGGTACGATTTTTTAGGCAGCAGGTCGACATACTCTGCGTTCCTCTTGGACAGGGGTCGAAGAGCAGGAGGGTCACAGGCGACGGGGGTTGCAATGTAAAAGCTTGTTTGGAAAGAGCAGTAATGAATCCCTGATGCCGTTTGTACGTCGCAGTCTGGCTTGAAGAAAACAAAGGTGAGCAGCGTTGGAGCCCATTTCGATATCGGGACAGAAGAAGAGAAGGTCGGCGTTTGTTTCTGCTTTTTACCAGTCTAAGAGTCGCAATTTTCGGAGTCATTGAGAGGAGGGGGGGGGAGCAAGCGTAAACCAGGCTTCCAAGGCATGTAGTAGGTCATTGGTTGGCGAGCTTGATGATGACCTACGAAAAGTAAAGCAGCTTCATCGCGGCCGAATGCTGGTCCGCGACTAAACTTATCAATACACACAAACCTGTTGTGAATGGTTGGACTCTACCTTGTCACGGGCAAGAAGCTGTCATACGCACAATCCTTTGTGATTTTGCGTCTTTTCTTAAGAGTCTCCGCCCGCAAGGGCTTCCTCCTCATCAACCGAAGCCAGAGAGGGAAAAGTACAAGACAAGCTCGTTGTCCCACCTACAGGTCGGGGATTCGGAAATGTACCGAATTGGGTTAGTGGCACCAAGCCATACACCAAGAGAATACATGGCAACCTCGAAACAAAAAAGGTATCCGCACGTACGTGAAGACTGCCAACCATACCCACCCTTTATTTTACTCGGTACGGCACTCGACACCGTGGGTGATGTACGTAATTCCGTGCGGTGAGCTTGCGGCATCACCACACGTCTGCTATTGTTGTTGCTCCGGCACTACTTGAGCTCGTGACAAACATCCGTTGTTAAGGATTGCGGGCAGAGACGCAACCTTTGTCTGGGAGTTGTCCTCATTGTGTTGGGCGGGGATAGCGAAAAGCTGGGAGATTCCACGCCCTTGGTGAAGAACGCCAGAATCTCGACTTTGTTCACATTGAAATTGTTTTCCCAATCGTACCTAAAATCTACACCGAAAGTTAAGGCTGGCGCCAGAATAGTAGGTAAGTGAGCCGAAAACGCGCGCGCACACACACCAACACCGGCGGGGTGCATTTCCTTTTCCCTACATCCATATCGCAAGATGACGACGCCAGATGAAGGCCAGCTCCTTCTCTCATGACAACCTTCCATGTAGAACAAAGCATCCCAGGCAGGAACGGGGTATGCCAGGCAAGACGCGGGAGCCAACCGATTGGTAGCAGCAACCCGCGCGTAGGGTCCCTCACCCCTCCTATGCATAGCATACAACGTGCCCTTCGAAGCGCATGTGTCATTTCCCAGTGATCAACATACTGCTGTGACATTAAATTCATTGGGAGGAAAACCAAGTGGTCGCTGCTTCTCTTCGTGGGCGAAGGACAACTCGATCCCCCCGCCCGTCCTTACCAAACAGACCTATGTATGTATCACCCCCCTCGTCTTTAAAAGGCTCTAATAATTTCGGGGCAATCGAAATTGACGAGGGCTATGTATTCAGCAACACCAGCGTACTACGTAATGCTCAATTTCGCCGCTGTTATCACCCACACTAACAAGACGATGGAGTGTAACGTGCGCCAAACACCCTCAGTTGTTATTTACTAAATCACCTCTGTGCCCGCGGCTACGTCTCGCTCTCTATCATGACATTCCTGCGTGAAACCGCCGGCCAATCGGGTCTTCCCCCTCATACACGTTTTCGCCATATTAGCACAAGAACTCAACCCCGAGATAAGAGAGGCCCCACAACAAACGGCGCGCACGTGCTGTCTACTCCTGCGAGCAACAGGAAAATGGGTTTTCATGAAAAAAACGCATCTGCCTGCACGCCAAGCAGCACCGCGTAATAAGGACACCACGGCATGATACATACCGACGCGGTCCAACTCCCGCCCGCGTAGCGGTCCAACAAGAAGACTTTTTCAAAGTCCCTCCGCTCCTGCCAGCGTGCTACCCCGAGGCTCCCTACAACCGGTCCATCGCTGTCCATCGCCCTCCATACGCCACACACACCATATGCAGCGGCTGCGATCACTCAATATGGCGCTAAATAAAGGCAGCTTCACACCGAAGGCATAGCGACACGCACGTCCTAACTACGCGACGGTTTGTTCTACGAGATCTACGATGCGAAGGGGTCGATGAACGTTCCTGCCGCGGCCGCCGCGATCAGCACGATGGCGAGACCTGCTACGCCGATCTTCGTCTGTGGCGGGAGCAGCAGCGGTAGCGAGAGCAAGGGGGCCGCAAGCGCAAGGGGGAGAAGGGAGAAAGAGATGAGCTACGTAGTGCCATGCCAACACAGTCAGGCCCGGCACGGGGCGAGACCCAAACACCGCCGAAACACAGCAGCGGTAGCAAGGACACATCCCAAGCAGCGGGGTATGTCGACCCAGCTGTGCTGGAAAGCTCACGCTTACTGCAGAATACGAAACCGTCTCGGTCAACCTTGTACGAGATAACCGGTTCGCGTTATTCTACCGACGGGTTGGCATTGGGAGGTTGCGAGGTTGACTTCGAGCGCAAAACCATATCCGAAGAAATCCAAGTACTGTAAGACGGTGGTCGGGACTGCTGTCCCAGATGCGGCGTAGCCTTGATGGCGAAAGGACATTCAAAAGCATGACGTCAAAACCCTCCAGACAATCACGGCCCCCCCGCGCCCGCCGCCCTCATCGCTCCAGCACACCTCGGCCGTTACCACCAGCCTCTAGCCGATGTTAGTGTCAGACCGCCTCTAGCCTGCCATGTTCATCGGGGGTAGTACCCCCCCCCCCCCTCTCTCGAGGGCGCGTGGTCAATGGTCTTGCCGCTAAGGCATGCACAACACAAAGAGTCTACGCCCCCCCCGGACGAATGGATCTCCCGCTCTCCCTCCCGAACGTAGCACCCATACAACACAATCACTCAAGGCAGGCAGAAACTAAGCCCGCCACCTCTCTCTCCTCCCGCACGCGTGTGGGGCCACTAGAGTTTCTCACCTGCAACTCGTCGGCGCCGCTCTGCAACTCGATCAGCGTCTGGCAAAGGTCGCTCTTTACACCGCTCCTGCGAGAGGATGGATGGACACGGATGAGAGTGAGGGCGGCGTGGAAAAACGCACCATGAGGGAGAAACGACCGCTTGATGGCTAATACTTTCGGTGCATCAATCACCAACTGGAGAAGCAACAACGAAGGCAGCACAAAGGTGCGAGAATGTTACCACCAATGCCATAACCACGTAACAAACACAGCAGCAACTGCATCAGGAGTAACACCCACGACCATGCCAACGTCAACGTCAACAAGAACAACAGCAGCGACATCAACACTACCAACCACAACGACAACAACAGCAAGCAGCAACAACAGCAATACACGGTAGTTCTCGCTTGCTGATGTCGGATATGTCATCATCACCTGAACATAAAACAGCAGCAACTGCATCAGCAATAAGATCCACGAGTATGCCAACGCCAAAGTTAAGAAGAAGAAGAACAACAACAACAGCAATGACATCAACATTAACAACCAACAGTACCCGGTAGGTCTTATCTCACTTGCTGATGTCGGATATCCTGTACACCCATGTCCCCAAGTCAACGTTGTCGTCTGCGTAAGTGTAGATGCCGCCCCCCGGCCTGTCTCACCGGCAATAAAACAAGAAAAAAAAAAAGGGTGGGGACGAAACGCACGTCAGGACCCCGACGCCACCAGTAAGCAAGGCGAAGGACAGGGGTGAATACCGCCATAGCATGATGACCCACAGATGTGGTGGCTGCGCCAGATAAGACCATGAGGTTGAGGCGCTGCCACGGGCGAGCCACAGAGAGCACGGATGCATTTCGACACCTGCTGGCTAGGCCATTCGGCGCTCTCCGTCTTGTGCGGTACAGTGCCTTGCAGACGCTCTGGCACTCTCTTCTGGTACCCTCGTGGTTCCTTCTCGCAAGGGTGGGACACCCGGCGTGCACTCCACACTCCGTAAACCACAGGTTGTGTTTTCGGTTGCGAGAACCTTGACGCAAGCAACTCAAGTATATGCTCAAATAAATATCATAGGTGTCATAAAAACTAAAATCCGTTAGCCACTTCTCGTTTTATTACGCGTTGCACCATGGAAGGTTCGGGACTCGTTTTAGGGTGTACCTCGCTCTTTTCGAAATAAAACAATCAAAACATATTTAACGCAAACAAGCGGGGGGGGGTTGCACCGCCGAAACACGCGCGCCCGTCAATAAACACAGCAGAACAAGCGCGCCAATTTGGTACTCGTCGGTTGTCATCTCATACAGAACAATTTTGCCGGCAGATTCTGCAAACCCTCTCGTGCGTTGGTCATCATCGAACTACGCATACGGGCTGAGCCCTCCCTCCCTGCCTTCTGCTCTTTCGGTCGCAAAGACTCCTCGTTCTCCCGAGGAAGTAGTATGGAACAGCTTGCCTGCCTTGACGTCAAATACCTCGACATCACACAACCACAATCATTCGGGTGGGAACCCTGATGACACACGGGGCCCCATTCACAGACAACAACCCCTCCACGGAAGCCCAACAACGGCTCTAAGGACCTGTTTTTAACGAAGCGCCAAAAATCAAAATCAAAATCGGCCCTGTTGGCCGGGAAAAAAGTAATGAATTTGATCTTTTATGTTCTTTTTTATTTCGACAACTTTTGTTTCTTCATTTTCAGGAAATAAAAAGTGAACTCTGCCGGAAAACCTGAACGGCATTACCTTTTGGTCTTCGACCAATCGCAGCTCGATTTTTTGTTATTATTATTTTTGGCACCTTGTTAATACCGCGGGGGTCTAAACGCACCACCACCTTCACCGGGAAATCGCAAGCAGATTTCCGCGGACCCCGACCTGCCGTTTGTTCACCGATTCACTCACCCCTTGGAGTTGAGTGGGGGGAAGTCTTTGTACGATGCGATCTCCTGCCACTCGTCCGTCTTAGCGGCCCGCCTGCTGACGATGAAACCGATGTTTCCCTCCTCGTTTCCTGTCTTCCAGGTTAGCTCTACCATCTCATCCGACACCCTCTTGGCGGACAGGCCTGCGCCTGAGAGCTCCATCTGTATTTAGGGAAAGACGGCGATAAACCAGGGTGTTGTCGTTGTTGTTACTTGCTGTCTTCACAATAAAAAACCGTTCCGATCTCTCTACCCAGTACCATTATCTGTCCGTACTGATCAAACACTTACCCGAGGGATTCCCGTGGTCACAGGCTAACTTACCTAAAAAAGAAACTAAAAAATATTGGTGGTGGTGTGCCTTTGTGCGTGTGTGTATCTTTGCATACCATTGACCGTGCTAACCGGCCGACCACAGAAAGGACACTAAATAGGTTGTACAGCAGCGGGATAAAAAACGCGACAGTACGTGTGTGTGGCTTCAATACTAGCATAGACAGCGCTACCCGGCTGACGAATGAAATGTGTGTGTGTATTGCGAGGAATCATTTGAGACAGACTCTGCAGCAAAGGCACTCGAGCGATACCCTCTTCACGGAAAGAAGCTTTGTGCACGGCGGGAATGCGTGACACGAGCGGCTGCTGTTTTTCGCGATGCCTGCCCGCCTGACCTTGGGGCCATCGACTGCTGTTCATCTCAGCTGAGGGTAAGCATCCCTGGAGGAGCCATCTCCGTTGTTGTTTCAGCTGCCAACCATCCAAACTAAGTTCGCTGCAGTTATGTATCATTGGGTTCGGGCAAGACAAAAATAAAGTAGCTTGTTACCCACAGAGAAGATATCGCTGCTCGGGGAACGGTAGCAATACAGGTTGGTCATCGCACAATTCTATGAAAAAGTTTGCAAGTTTATCCCAGACTCGTATCTGTGGAGGAGGCGGAAGAGACGAATTTGGTGTGTTTTCGTAAGAAAACAAAAGTATTAAATTTCAGTTTTGGGGTAAGACAAAAAACGTCGGCGCTACAGTACTGTAGCCAGGAAGAGGGGGCAGCGGTGCCATTTGATTGGCTCGGGTGCCCGAACGTCTCTTGGGGCTGCGAAAAAACGGCGACTTTTGACGTTTCGCTGCTTCCTCGCGAGCAAAACAATAAGCCCGCATGCCACTACCCCGGCCACCACATACTTCCCTTCAGGCTACCTTTTGCTGCTGTGTCAGAAAAACAAGAAAAACTCGACAAAAGCAATGGTACATAACCCTAGGTTGCATAAGATACCACACTCCCTTGACCGGTATATAGAGCTCGATTACTTTGCAGGAAAAACAAGCTATTATATAGCGACGGTGCCGAACATGGCGGCGTTGGAACTGTCTCGTCGGGAGGCTTCCCGAAAACGTAACATTTGATTGCGACATCCCCAATCGTCGTAGAGCAACCGAGCTTTGAAAATCGTTCCAGGGGGTGTGGTATCTTAAGCAACCTACGGTACAAAGACCATGGTATCGTGCTTCCCTTCGAGTCAGCATATTGTCTCGCCACCGGCTCGCCGAGGGCTGAACACAAAACGCAGGTGCCAGAACCCCCCCCCAAAGGCACACTCCCGTCCCATACCACTCTCCTCCGCGGTGAATTCGACGACAAACCTACCTGCTGCGGGTCGCGTGCAAGGGCCCCCAGCGCCTCCGGCACCGTGTTGGCCTCCTTCTCCTTACGAGCTTCGATCGAGGCTGCCACCTTCGCCAGGTTCTGTAAAAAAATCGGAGCAGACAGCAGTGTTGGGATGTAGCCTTGCTTGGTAGGGATAATTAATTCTTGTTTTTCTTGCATAGAAACCTTGCTTTGGTTTGATCTGCACACTGCTGTTCCAAACAGAGGCCATCGCCAGATACAACCAAGAAGTGCTAATGACTAGCAGTGAGTAATCCGCCAGGCAACGCAGTTTGATTGGGGCCGGAGGACGCGACGGATGGGCAAACAATCTTGTCGCTTGTTTCCCTTGTTTCGACGGCAGGTGAACATCCGATAGACTCAAGGGCATTGCACCCTCATTATATTACAGCTGTTTTCCGTTACCTGTACCCAGGCAGAGCTCTACGGCAACCCGGCGGGTTCTCGTGCACGAAAGTTTCTCCTAAAACCCGGCGTAGTGTTAGAGAGGCATTTTCAGATCGTGACGACGCCTTTTGGGGAACAGAAAAGACTGCTGTGGTCATATCTCGTCTCGAATGGATAGTCTCTGTTTGGTTGTATGAATAATTCCTAATAATAAAGCGATACTGCAAAGCCCGCGAACGAATACGGGTTCGGAGACAAGAAACTTCAAAATCCGGTCGAGGCTCATTTTCTTATTTCATCACCACCGCTGTCGAGCACAGGTTGCTATATAGAGTTTAGAGTAGGATCTACCGTTGAGCTAACTGTGTGTTCTTAACCCAGATATCTTGTTTTTGGGGTGAAGATTAAAAGTTGAGCCTCTGTTTCTTAACGAAACATTTCCTAACTGCAGGCCCGTTCTATATACATGAAAGCATCAAACTACTACTGTTAAGGCACCTCGGGGTCGAAGGCATCCACCATCCACGGGGCGTACGCAACACCGTCGTCGTTGAACATCCACGCCGGCGGCTTGGTCTTCTTCTTGTCTCCCTCGGCTCCTTCCGTCTCCGTTTTCTTGGTCATCCTGCAGCTGGTGCTGCTGGTGCCGCGAGCTGAGGCCTACAAGAGGAGCAGCGTGTGGCATCACCGCCGTCATGCCCCACGTACGGCAGCACGTAGCGTAGCCAACGACAATCCGTGTTTTTTGGGGGGCAGAAAAAGTCAACAAAAACAGAACGGGTTCATGTCACGTGAGATGAAACGCTTGGCTTGGTTGAGCGATCCGCAACAAAAGCTTCCTATTTTATCACGCCTTCCCCCTCCCGGTGAGTGCGATCTGGGTTGGGTTTTCTTCACGTGGCCACGACGTTCAAAAACAACACGCCGATCGCTTCGTGAGTTCGACAACCGGCTTACCGCTTTCTTTTTTGCCTGTGTTTTTTTTTAGGAGTACCACAGCGGTGGTCGAGTAGATCATGTTGTGCGGGGTCGAGAACCCTCACTCCGCGCAAACGAGATGATCGCACCACGTTGTGTTAAAATTAGTCGAGCACCCTCGAGGCAGTTACACAGCGTTTATAGCTGTCTCTGGAAGTGAAACACCAGGAAACAAATGAAGTCATTCGCAGCTGTCATCCGTATGCACATGCAAGCAAGTAAACACAAGATGCACAACACCCTTAGCAGGATGCAGCGCACCCTCCATGCGACTCGCTGAATACCTCACGGCGCTTCGCGCTTGGTAATGCGAAAACCGGCGTGCTCCGTCCAGGCTTTGTAGGGATGCGAGGTCAATGGTCGAACGGCTACGGCATGCACGGCCATGAGCACCCTGTCATGAGTCGCCCCATGGCATATATGGTTCGGCTCTCAGCAAACGCAACAATGATGACCAGCTGCGGGTTCACCCTCGTTAATTTAGCCTAGACCGGCGGGAACCATGCATATCGCTCCGTCCCGGCAATGTAGGGATACGAGGTCAATGGTCTAACGGCTAGAGGCTGGACGTCGCTGAGCTGTTAAAATAGTGTTTGTCTGCGACGTGATGCTGTTGTAAACAATATTAGCATCGGATTGTGAGCGCGCGCACCGTCAAACGCTGGTTGTACAACATACTATAAATAGGGAGAGCGACAGGGATACAAAACCCCGTTCTCTATGTACTGCTGGTGTGCAGCTTCGTTTACCGCCCACGGAACTCGACGCGCAATCGCGCGCAAGTTACGGTATTTACTTCTACCCTTGTCTCCCACCCACCCGAGACCCACCACTGCTCTTGGTACTGCTGTGCGAAGTGCTACTGTATTGTACCAGAAAACAAAACAAAACATTGGGATCATGTCATGTGCGGAGAGAGCAGAAACCACCGCCAGGGTACGTGGATAATGGGGAAAAAAATTGACACTGAATCAATGATTCGCCTCTAGCGGTCACATGCTTGTTTCGCGAACGACAGCATGGTTTGAGTGTGTTCGGTCCCAATACATGTACTCCGAGGTGGTATAAGCGCAACAGCAGAACATGCATGTTGACTGCGCTTGCTTGCGGTCTCGAAGGACAAGACACGAACAGGAGCTACTTTTGAAGCATAGATACCGGAGTCGTGTGTTTGTTGAGTGGGGCCGGACCAGTGCCGACGCAAGTCACTTTACTCCAACAACACAGCGACACATTGGTGGCTGCTGTCGCAGGAACGACCGCAAACGCGTGTGCATTGCAAGTCTCCATGAAGGATACATGCCGGATGTCAACGCTGACGTCTACTGGTCTGTTTACGTACGCGCCCCTAGCAAGGATACCACCGCAGAGAGAGAGTTTCCGGGGGAAAATCTGCCGCAACACTGCTCACCTTCGAGCACGAGCGGGTGACGCCCTCACGTCCTAGCACCGACACGGAAAGGCTGCTGCCTGGCGCCACGAAGGCCTTGGTCAGTGGCGCTGCTGCCATTGCTACCAAACACATGCTGATGCACCTCGTCATGTTTCTGATGTCTGCGTTGGCTGTTCTGGGTGTGTGCTCTCCCCCCCTGCCGATCTGTTGTTCTCCAGAGCAGACAATAAATGTTGTGGGGGCTGGGTGACGCTGTCGATGACTCCGGGGAGGACTTCTGACTTCGGCAAGGGAAAGTCAACCTCTCTGACGGCCTGGCGGTGAGTCCGCGGGAGATGTATGTATGTACTGCACCGGCCGGTGCTCTGCTGTCGCTCGAAGCAAGGGGCCCCACAGACTCAAACACGATGGGTATTCAATGTACACTCTGCGTGCCCCCTCTGTTAAGTGCAGCGCTGGCCTGGCTGGGAGCAGGACCACGCGTCTGCTCTCGCTGCCATCGCTCGGGTAAGAGTGTGCCTACTCTAACTCTCATCGTCTGGTGGTTATTTCTCCCATCACGCATCTGGCCAGGGGATACGAGTGCGAATCTCGGGAACGTTTTGTCTTCAAACTTCAAACAACATGACCACCGCAGGCAGATGGGCGGCTACTACAGCTGCCGCGGCTGTCACCATCGCCCTTCTCAGGTGCGGAGGAGCGCCGCCTTGCCATGCCTTCCTCGCATCAGGCGGCATGGCGTTCGCGCCGCAACACTCATGCAGAGGAAGTAGACATTGCAGGGCAACCAGCATGTCCGCAGCAGACGGGCTTGACCTGTCGAATACGGCGGTTGCCGAGGTCGATGATGACGGGAGCGGTGCAACCAGCCGTTCAAACGTCGCCGCCACTGCCGCTGGTTCAACTCCCGGCAACACCGGCGGGGCCACCGAAAAAAAGCAGCGGAATAGTGGCGGTGCTGCTGCCAAGGCGGGGAGGCGATGGATCAAGGAGCTGAAGACGGGCGATAAGGTTATCGGGTACGTGGCGGACACAACAAACTTCGCTGCGTTTGTGGACTGCAGCGTCGTACGGCAGGGGTCAAAGGTGGGTGTCCTGCCTGGGGGGATGAGCCGGTGCCGGTGGTGCCACGATCGGCTTGCCTATCAAGGTGCTACGAGATCTTGCTTGTTTCTTCCGATCACGTGAAGTACACAAGGACGTGAGGTTGCGGGTTGCGTATTGCATCTCCGGTTTTCAAACGAGGGAGCAGATGGGCCAAAGACCGGATAGCGATTTACCCCTAGATGTGCTCCATGCAGGCCGGCTAGGGGGCTCCTCCTGTCGTTCGGAGATCCTGTTGCCATTGTGCACGAGTACTGCTGTAGCGAAGTTGCCCGCGCTTTTGAGCGGAGTTCACACGAAGGGTGGAGAACATGTTTTCTTTGGCCCCCATCGCCCAGTAGCACCTACTGTATTTGCGTACCACCGACGTACACATGTACCCGGCATTTACTGTAAATAGCTGGTTTGAACCTTGGAATACATACCACCACGCCGCCGTCCCTCGACAACTGCTGTTACTCTTCCAGAACAAGATTGTCCCAGTGACGGGATTCCTCCACCTGACGGATATCAAACGCCCGTACGCGCTGGAGGGCACCCCCGGCGTCAAGGATTGCGAGGTGGAGGTGAAGAAGGGAATCCACCTCACGGCATATGTCAAGGACGTGTTTCCCAACGCGGGACGCATGACTCTGTCTCTCGACCCCAACATCAACAAGGACAAGGTAGGCTTTGTTGTTTCGACGACACCAGTTTGCTTTTTTTTTTTTGAAGCCTGTTTCGCCTGCCGACGCAGCTGTGTCTAGCTGGTGGCTTGGTGGGTGTAAGCTTCTGGTTGGCCGAAATGTTCCACTTGGTCCTATCTAGTACTGCTCCCGTGGTACATCTACTAGTATATGGCATCACGATGTGCGGCTGTAGGCTGGTGGTTCTTCTGCGTGCGGGTGGAATAGGCGGTCTACTGCCAAGAGGCAGCGATGACACCAGGCTTGTGCAAGACTTTTTGTTGTGGAAAAACGACCCTTCCCGGCACAGGTGCCTCTCCCCCAATGCTCGATATATCCGGACCTCTGTTCTGTTGTCGTAGACGCCACGCGGTGGGCCCTCTTGCAGCGATGACGACCGCATTGTCCGAGATCTCTGCCGCTGTCGTTTCCCATGCACCATTACACTCCTCTTCGCACCACCAATTGGCCAACTCTGCGTACTGAATAATGCAGGTCCTTAAACTGCGCGACTCGAAGCGGCAGCGATCGCGAAACAGCCGAAGAGAGCGCCTCCACAAGAAGGGAAGACGGCACGCGGTGGGCGACATCGTAGAGGGATACGTCCGCGAGGTACAACCCTTGTCTTTCCCTGAATGATTTTTGTGCCTCTGCAATATACGAAGAACCTCTGCAATGGCACCAGATGCATCGCTGCTGTATGTCCTGTACGTTGACAGTTTGGTAGCCACAAGATTGTTGCTCCACAGGCGACAGTTGGGTAGCCACAGCAGCACGCGGGCGTTCTCCGAGGGCGTCGAACCTGTCTTGCGTTTGGTAGCCACAAGATTGTTGCTCTGCAGGTGACAGTTGGGTAGCCAGAGCAGCAAGCGGGTGTTCTCCGAGGGCGTGGAAGCCGTCTTGCTGTCTAAAGGTCGCCTAACTCTTCCCCTTGAGAGAGGTCGATTGTCTTTTCCCCGAGTTTCCTCGAGCCTAACGGAAGCGTTGTTATTGGGTCTCGACGGCGCACGGTGGCTGGTAATTTATCCGTCGTTTGATTGCACCGCCTGGAATGTAATTTGTCAGCTTTAGACCTTGATCGGCCAGTTGTCTCGGTGCCGTGGTACAGGTGTGTCTACTAGCTTCATGGCTCCTGCAAATTATGAGCAACTTGTGGGTTATTCAACCCGCCATTTAGCCTCTCCCCCCATGTCAGACGTATTCGACGTGTGTGACACCCAAGTGAATGTCTGTCCGTGGCGCGCCGGGTGTTCAAGAGGTGCCGGGTTGTCTTGGGGGTCCACGTTCGTATGAGTATGAGCTACCACTAAATACATGGTTTTCTTCGCCACTGCCCCTAAAGGTTGACGGCTGTTCTCTTGTGCTTGGTTGGTTTGTGCACCCTCTGGCGCCCGCTGGAAACCGCTCCTCTGTACGGCGTTCGCGCGGCTTGAGGTTTTGTCTTGTGGGGTTTCGTTCCACCTGCGTGTACCTCACTGCTCCTCCGGACGCATGCCGAGACCCACAACTCTTGCACTGCTGTGCTTTGGCGTGTTCCTACTGTGTTCTCTTTCCGCAGGTGCATGAGTCGATGCTTCTTGTGGACGTGATGTTTGCTCAGTTGTCGGTGCTTCGTGCGAGCAACATCCGCAACTCGGAGGAAGGGCAAAAGTTCGTCAACTTGTCCAACAAGACCAAGCCCGGGGACTTGATCACCGTGCGCATCGAGGATATCGAAACGAGCAAGCGGAGGGGGGCGAAGGGTAAGAACCTCGATGGTAGCCACACCTATTGTCCATATCTTTCAGAAATTCACGTACGATGATAACGTCGAATTCCTACGAGCGAGTTTGCATGTCAGCGTTGCACCCATCTGGAGGTCGTTGGTCAACGGGCGCAAGGCACGTCATGCGAGCTATCAACGCTTTTCCCGCGCCGTTGGTTGATTGCCGCGGTGTGTGGACTGAAATCCCGTCTGTCGCGGGGTTGGTGAACTTCCGAGGGAAGGGGCCGAGTGGCCCACCACCACACGAATTCTGAACCACGGTGCCCCTTTTTCGGGATGGTGCGGTTGATTGGGGTCGATGTTGCCCCTTCCTCCTGGGCCACTGTTGGCAATGTGTGGGATTCTTCAAAAATTCGCGTTTTGTTTGTCGTACCCCGCCTTCATCCCCCCTTTTCTCGCTTGCACGTTGCTTTCCTCTTCGTGCCGTGTTTTGATTGGCAGACGACAAGGCAACGATCGACTTCGTCGCATGGGGAGGGCTCGGCGCGGCCAAGGATGAAAACCACCAAGAAGACGACGCCTCTTCTGCAGCAGCAGCAGCAGCAACAGGCGTAGGGCAGGAGTTAGATATTGCGGCGGAGATAGACGCTTTGCCCGCCCAACAACGAACCGACGCCGAATCCGCCGGGCCTGAGGCTGATGTAACGATGTAGCAACACCGGTAGAGGAGAAAGAGGAAGGCCAAGGGGAAGAAGGAGACGAATCGCAGCAACCTCCCACCGAGCAAGCACTGCTGTAGGGGAAAACATGTTTCCGCGGTACTGTTGTACTGGGTGCAAAGTACTGCCGCTGCTGTGCTTTGGGACATGTGCAAGGTTGCAGACGAAAAACACGCGTTGAAGAACTGCGGTTGGCACCGGCAGGATTTGGATGGTCGAGCTCGGTAAATGCAACAATCGAAAACGCGGCGCTTAGCTGTTACTCGTGGCTTGGGCGTGTCACAGACTCGCTGTACGCGGGTGGGTGGGTGGTTGCCTTGTTGGCGGTGGGGCGTCGTTCGACGTGTGCTGCCCTAGAATACTGTAGTTCCCTTGTTTCAGACTCTGCTTACTCTTGTGTAAGTAACGCTACACGACGCTCTCCTTTACGCCTAGAAACACAAACGGACGGGGAAAAGAGAAAAATACTGCATTCTGGTAACAACCGGGATTTGCGGGATCCAGCGTGTTTTCAACTGAATGAACCACTTGTATGCTGTCTCTTTTGAGGACTCTGTGGGCAGCAAATGTTCTCGGTACTACGAGGCTATGTAGTCAGAAGCCAAGGAAGGAAATTTTGCTACCGAGAAATCTAATGTGGGGGGGGTCGAGTCCCATCGCTGCCATGGCCAGTGATCTACCGGGAGGTCCCATGCCCCTCTCGCCAGCGCTGGGCAAGATGACGGATTGTCACGTTTTCCGATCAACAACGTGCGCCACTAGAGTACGTGCCAACACTCTTCTTTTTCGTTGCTGTTTCATGACTTTTTGAGCCCAAAACAACTCACTTATCACATCATTACATGGCGGCTGCTATTAAGGAGACAAACGAAGCGTCGAAGGAACATACCGTGCGGCGGATGTGCAGTACTTGTACAAGTAGTGGGGGGGGGGGCTGTTGCAGTAGTAGTGGGGGGAGGGGCTGTGTTTGCAGTATAGTGCCGGCATGTGCCCAGAGAATTGACCGGCACGATAATACCTGACACCGGCACTATTCAAAGTACAGAATGGCAGGGTGATTCAGTCTGTGCCAGCCGAATAAACGGTCACTACAGCAGTACGCGGCCTCCCACTTGCGGTAGAGAGGGGACTAAAACACTGCTGCTGTGTACGGAATCACCGCGCTGACTCATTTGTATTTGGAACACTTTATCCGAACATGTTGGCACAAATATTCAACCTCCATGTTCGCCAACACCAAGTGTAGCGTGAAGTGGCGTACATGGTAAGTGCTGCTGGCTGTGAGCGAGCACGGAGCTGGAAATTCGCAACAGCAGCATGAAGCCCCCCTCTGAAAAGCATTTCTCAGTTTCAGTCAAACGACAACAAAAAATCGAAATCCCGCGGCGTTTTCGCCAGGGGGAGAAAGTCAAGCTGCAGTACGTGGGTGTAGTAGCCAAGGTAGCAGTCTCCGCCGCCGCCGCTGCTGCCTCTTGGGCACACAAGACTAGCACCAAGACGCCGGTACGGGTGCACGGCAGCAGGACGAGCTGCTAAAGGGATGGCTCGCAAGGGGAGAAGGGGGGCAGGGCGGCGCGGTGGGGCAGATGCCGAGGAGGAGATGGCAGCAGCGGTGCACCGCGTTTTAGCACGATGCGACACTGCAGCAGTAGATGAGACCGCCGTGGCACTTCATCAAGGCACCCAAGACAGAGGTTCTGCTGGGCGTGGGGCTGCTGCTGGGAGTGCGACCCCGGGGGGTGATTGCGGTGGCATGAGAGGGGTTGCTGCAAGGCGGCGTCTCGCGGGCCAGCAGGGCTGCACGCGTCCTTTTAGCAGCAGCAGCAGTAGCACTAAAGGCCGGCCGTGGGAGGTGTGGGGGAAGGCCTGCTCGCTAGTTTGCCTGGGGCTGCTGAGCGACCAGGCGGCTTCGTTTCAGGTGCGGCACTCCCCAACGCGCGTTCTGGCGGTGCGGGAGCCTAGCATCCTAGCTAGACGGTTTACTCTAGCGTCGCGTGCATGCTCCTCATGTTTGCAGCAGCAGTTTCTGGTGACCCATCTCTCTCTACCATCTTTTCATATTTCGGCGGTCTGTGTGGGCCGCTGATGCGACCTACAGAGTGCGTGGCGTTGTAGGTCTCCGACACATGATGCGTTGAACATGAGAGAGAGAGGAAGGGCCGTGCTCCAAATGAGAGCACTTCGATTGGAAAAGACGCTTGGCGGAACCGTGCGTGCTCTCACCCCTATCGCAGTAGTGGCCGCTCCCGTTCGAAAAGGCTGACGTCCGTTGTTGTTGTTGACTCTACGTGCTCCTGGCGTGCGGTGTTTACGTTTGTCTGGGGCAGCCTGTGGTCCAGGCAACACCACCGCATCACCAGTCTTCTTGCAGGGAGGCGGTGCTGCGGAATCAGCACGCGGCTTCGCCGAGTGGGGGTGACTGCGACGTGCCTCTCCTGCAGGGGAGCTTTGCGGGTCGCCCAGGCCGACAGGTGAACAGAAGCAGCCGATTCAGAGTGCATTTGTCGCACGCTGACTACCCTCCCTCCGTGTTGCTGTAACGTTTTGCGGTGACCTATCATATGGAACGCGAGGCACCGACATTGGTGCGGTGATTCCGACGACACGGATGGGTAGCCACCCCGATGCCTAGCTGTGTTGTGTTTGATCGGTGGGCCCGGCATGGATGAACGCCACAGGAACAGCCGTTTTTGTGTGCCATGTGAGGCGCATGGTGACTTCTCTTCCCGCGCGCGTAGCTTGAACACTCCTCTCTGGTACAGTAAGGTTGTACTTCCATGTGTGTGTTATGGTTGTCGCCGTTTCGTGGCATACCTCCACCCACCGTCCCGGGGTGCTGAATTCTTCAATAGCAGTAATGACACCGCCGACAAGGAACAAAGATGCAGTGCGAGGTAATGGAGAACAGCGGTACATGGCAGATTGCGTCTCACAGTTTCTCAACTGCAGCAACTGAAGTAGCATGCCTACCTTACCGACGGGTTTTACGGCGCCTGCGAGGGATGTTTTTCGCTCGTTCGGTGCTAACGAGAGGTTGTGTTGTATGGGGTGGGGTGTTGAAGGTGAAAGGCTTACCACGACCCAGCTGACCAGAGAGCTTGCGCTCTGGGACCGATGTGCTGCTGTTCATCTGCTTCATGAATTATACGACATGTGTTGTACCACCTACCCATGACATTGAAGTACCACTAATTTCGGAAGGCTCTCCGGAGAGCGACGGCAGACAAGAGTTCTAAGCGTGCGGGAATATACTGAATATCTACAGCAGTGATGGCGGAAGGTAGTTGGTATTGTGGCTGACGCTCATGAAACAACGCACGCCAATACCGCTACCGTAGTGGTACGCCTGTGCGAAATGCGAAACTCCAAAGATCCGATCGATTTTTTTCTGCAGCCACTTCTCCACGACGACGATGGTCTTTCTGTCGTGCGATTGGACAGAATACGCTCACCCGCCTTTGTACAGGTGCAATAGGTACCTCCATCTAACCCGACGTCATTCTTGTCGTATGCCGGAAGCGCATGGGGACGTCCCCGTCGCCTTCAAACATCCGTCAACGCGTGTACCCCCGGCCCCCCCTCCCCCCTCTA